AAGAAAAACCAACGGAGCAAAGCAGGCTCCCCGTTTGCTCTTTGTTTCACGCAATCCTCTGGTGGCCACTGTGGAGACTGGATCCAAGGCTTGGGTTCTGACCCACTGCACTGGTTCTTAGGATAACGTACATCATTAATGGGATTTTTGTCACAGTTTTATTTAACGGAGAAACTTACTTCACATATTTACATCCTTTGTATAAATACAGCTTTTGCTGAGGAAAAACATCATTTGGAAAAATATGGCATAATAAAGGGGCTTTTTTTTCCACATACATATCTTCACAAAATTTATGATCAGTTTCTCATCAACATACTTAGAATCATAGAATCATAGAATGCCGAAGGTTGGAAGGGACCTCAGAGGTCATCGAGTCCAACCCCCCTGCTCACGCAGGGTCACCTAGAGCACGTGGCACAGGGCTGCATCCAAGCGGGTTTTAAAGATCTCCAAAGAAGGAGACTCCACAACCTCTCTGGGCAGCCTGTTCCAGTGCTTTGTCACCCTCACAGTGAAGAAATGCTTCCTTAAGTTCCTGTGGAACTTCCGATGCTTCAGTTTGAAGCCATTTCCTCTAGTCCTATCCCTGCCCACCACTGAAAAGAGGCCGCCCCCCTCCTCCTCACTGCCTCCCTTGAGGTATTTATACACGCTGATCAGGTCCCCCCTCAGCCTCCTCTTCTCCAGGCTGAACAGGCCCAGCTCTCTCAGCCTTTGCTCATAGGGCAGATGTTCCAGGCCCCTGATCATCCTSGTAGCCCTGCGCTGGACTCTCTCCAGCAGCTCCACATCCCTCTTGTACTGGGGAGCCCAGAACTGGACGCAGTACTCCAGATGTGGCCTCACCAGGGYTGAGTAGAGGGGGATGATCACTTCCCTCRACCTGCTGGAGACTTATGTCCCTATTAATGAGAATGAGTAATACTGTAACTTCTAAAAGGAAATTACTGTCAAGTTCTATAAAATGTTGATGAAGATTATTTTTGTGACATCCCTTTAGGCAATAACTTAAGAGGACTTACCTTTCTCCCAATTTACAGACTCACAGGATGGCTGAGGCTGGAAGGGACCTCTAGAGATCATCCAGTCCAATCCCCTGCTCCAGCAGGGACACCCAGAGCACGGGGCACAGGGAGGCATCCAGGTGGGTTGGGAAGATCTCCAGAGAAGGAGACTCCACAGCCTCCCTGGGCAGCCTGTTCCAGGGCTCTGTCACCCTCACAGGGAAGAAGATCCTCCTCACATGCAGATGGAACTTCCTGTGTTGCAGCTTATAAGGTATTTTTAGGAACTGTCTGCAGGAATGAGGGACCTTTCACAGATGTGGTCGCAGAAGGTGGTTATCAGACAGTCTTTTTACAACAGATGAACCGCTCATTTTTCTACCCCAATTTCTAATAGCATCTTTCCCCCCACCCCCTTGCTTCTCAGCCATGAGACAAGTCATTACAWCACAACCTTCAGGAAATAAGAGTGCACAAAATAATTCAGTTTAACAGATATAAATGAATTTTATTTTAAAAGAAACATTTTCTTTTCCATTTAAATCTATTAAGCCTCCTTTGACTTACCGTGCTGGATCATCCACCAAAATTATACAGAACTTAAAAGGTGTGTTAGGTTATAGGACTTACGAGGTCTTTCTGGCTATAGCACAGGTATACACAAGTGCAGATTATTAGAGTTATCTTAGAATAATTTATGAAGAATAATTTATGAAGGATTACACTGGTTTACATGAAGGATCAATTAAACTGCCTCTCCATCAGCTTGCTGCAATCACGGACACAATCCTGAGAAGCTRACCAAGCCGCGGGGCAGCTCTCAAATCAAAACATTTTGCATTCTGCAATRCAACGTTTGCGTTCTGCAAACATTTTAGCATCCTTCAGGACCACCCTTTTAACCACTAAAAATACAGACTCCAGAGGCTCTGTCCTGCTCCTAGATGTGTGCACACGAGGAACTGTTTGAGGCGCCCTCGAGTCCCGGACAGCAGGGCTCAGAGCTGTGGCTAGTGCCAAACACCAAGTGCTGCCCATTTGCCTCACAGAGCACTTCCACTTGCATGTGTATGAATATTCATTATGATTTTGTTAAGTTGCACATTGCTATTTCCTCTGTGGCAGATAATTAAAGTAAAACCCAACCCGTAACACACGTGCCCACATGAACACAGCTGGTGCCTCSCATCGGGGGCACCCACATGTACTTAGGAGGAAAAGGGCCCTTGCAGGGGAAGCTCCATTTCGTTGCTGAAGGACTAGTTCAGATTGCAGCAGAAGGCAGAGTCAAAGCACATTGCTATAGAAAGTCCACAGAAAACGCCCAGTATTTAAGTGCATAGCGAGATAAAACCAACTTCCGCAGCGAGCAAGTGTCCTGAACTGCTCTGCGCTTGGGAATTCATGATTAAGTGGCCAAGTGCTGGCATTTATGAGCACAGAGCCATTTCAGCACTCACTGCATGGCAAAGYTGAAAGCCCGTTGTGGTCAGGGACAAGCACGGGGTGCTGCAGGCTGCCACGGCCCTGGTTCTGCCACGACTGCCCTGCAATAAATGGCTCCTGCAGGTACTTGCAAAAAATCAGAAAAATAATATGTCTCCTCTGTAAAAATAACGGCAGACCATCACATTTTATGTAGAGCAGAAAATGATAGTTAAAGATGAAGTGCCCTGTAGGAGTTACCCAATTGACAAGAGCTAAAAGCCAACTATTGCAGAATGCAGGCCATTTAACACACAAAAAAACCCTCACTTCCCTCACCCCTGTAGTTCTTTGCATGCAATTGATATGTCACCACTGCTCTCACCTTTAAGAAAACTGTATTCCAAGCTGGACATTTTAAAAAAACATAATAATAAAAGAATTAATAAGGCTACAATTTAAAAGAACTTGCCTGTATTTTCAGATATACTAGGGGCTTAGAAATGCTAGAAAAAGTCCTTTGTATTTTAAATACCTAACTATGGATGGCCGTCCAGCAAACACACGTAGGTGAAAGTCATGGCACAAAGGCAGGTTAACACAGTGCAGAGAAATCCCCTGGATGCAAACGACAAGCACCTTCTGGCTGACACCAAAGACAAACTCCCCCTGCTTAATATTTGTTCAGTAGACAAGAAAGAGCTCCTGAGGCCACCTATATTCAACCAAGTAACAGTGTAAATAAGATAACAACCCTCAGCTTCTCCCATTTCAAAGACTATATATTTATTTATTTCAATGTTTAACCTTAATATATAGAATGCCCACAAAAGGAAGGCTCCGTATGGCCAGTTACCTTATGGTTCTTGCTATGCACAGTGCAAACTTCCCTGATGCCATTCCAGAAATGACTATGTCAAAAGAAGAAATGCTTTTAAGCGGGCGAGTTAGGCACTCAAGAATCAAAAAGCTGTAAGCAGAACATAACCTTGTCCTTGGGTGTACGAGCGAGGTTACAGTCCTTACGCACAGGGATTATTTCTTTTTTAAATGTAAGCATTTCCTGGGCCCTTGTGCAGTAAAGGTCTGAGGCCAACATGCAAGAGGAGACCCTAGCCCAAGTCCAAGGCATTSGAAAGGTTCCTCAGCACTTCCTGGCTCCTGGGAAGCGGGAAGTGCTGGGACTTGCTTCAGTCTCACCTCTTGCTTGAGCATCCTGGGTTATCCCTAATAAAAGCCACGTGCTCATGTTCCTCCTCTGACCCAGTCAGGGAAGGGGAAGGACGAACGCGTCTTGCTCCCTCCCTGCCTCTTTAGATGGGAAAATCCCGAGTCCTCGGGAACAAAAATCTCGACCTGCTGCTCTGCGTGACCTCGAGGGAAAGGGCTACCTGGGACAGCCGCAGATGCACCYGCTGGATGCACGGAAAATCCTGGCAAGGCAGGAAAACAGGAGACTTTTGCTCTGTGCTTTGGAAGCCCTGAAGCCTCTGTCATTCTGAGTTGCAGGAGCCAAATAAAATCCTGCAGCGCTCCGACACTCCAACTGCAGTCAGCCACCAGCACCACACGCCATCAAAAATACATTAAAGGCAGGGGATCATACAGACACTTTTAAACAGAAAATATGAACAGATGTTTAAGACTATTTTAGGACTATACGAAATCCGAATTTTATCTGCATGATTTTTAATTCCTATTGCATATAATTAACTTGCTGGATATAATCCTGCTTGACTGAAAGGAATAAACTTCAAAGAGGCTGTTCAGGGAGAGCAGATGGTCCTTAAGGAAGCAAAGTTGGGAAAGGGGCTGGACCCCTATGCAAGGGGTTCTAGCCAGGCTGGCCGAGTGGCTTTTCTCAAAAAATAAACCAAAACAAAGCTAAATGGCAAAAGAGCCCCAAGTAAAGAGCAAAGGAAGAGAGCCGGGAGGAAGGAGCAGGTCCCTCCTCCTCCTCACCCAGCGAGACGCAGCGTGGCCATCGCACACGCTGCCTCTCAGCACCAGGCTTTGCAGGAACCCAGCCCAGCTGCGGGAGCTGTGGTACTAATATCAATAATTAATATTAATAGAGCTGATCAACTGAAACCAACTCTGAAAGTAGCCCAAGTGTCTCCTGCAGAAACCAGCGGCAGTAGCAAAGGAGGCAGGAGAAGAAAGGACTTGAAAAGGACCGAACGTCTAAAGTGCAACTTCCCTTGTACCCAAAGGTTACCTTGTACCCTAAGCTAACTTTTATTCATTGCAAAACAATACCCAGATCCATGGGATGTTTTGATATCCATTCTAAAGTGTCTCAGACAAGGACGCTAATCTAAGGTAAAAGATGCTGTGCAAATACTGCCCTTGAATACGAACAAAGATCCTGACTAACATCCACCAGGGAAAACAGTGCTTGCAAAATCATTTCCAGTCATTGCATAAACGGAAAGCAATACTTTAAGAACATATTTAAAAAACTTAAAGATATCATGTTAAGATTTCCCAAAAAGTTACACTTAAAAAATGCATGAATTTACTTGCAAAAAAAATATATATATTTTTCTTTGCAAACTGCAATCTACCTGGAAAATATAATGGATTCTAAGCTTTGAACTTACACAACTGTTTGAAATACTCATACCTGTTTTACATCTGATAAGTGGAGGTTAAAAAAAAATACAAATTTAAGAGATGCATTCATATGCAACAAGGTCTCCTGAACTTTTATACGCCRGATGGAAGTGTCACCCAAAATGAAGGAGCAGTGAATAATTCGCTTCACTCAAAACAAAACAACAGGTTTTAACTGCAGATTCATGACTTTATCTCATCTTTGTTTTGTGTGTCGCTCTCCCCTGAAAGCGTGTCCTTATCAAGGCTGTCTTGTGGATCTGCTGACACATTATTCAAACAATCCTCGCTGTCACATAAGGACTTATCTGTAGTACCTGGAGGACCTCCACAGTCATTGTTCTGATTTCCATCATCTTTTCCGGAATAAGAAGTGTCCTCCTTTTTGTCTGACGTATCAGGAATTTCTTCTGATGTTGAATGCTGAGTCGTATCAGCATCACTGCTCTTTTCACTGCTGTTCTGCCTAACAGCATCACAGTTCACTTCTTGTTCATCCTGCTCATTTCCTTCCCCATTTTTTGTGGGTTCTACCTTCTTTTCTTCAACTGCTTTACTAGCTGAGCTTCCACTYGTGGATATATTCTTAGAATCTTTCGGTTTTTTATGCTTGGAAATGCAACTGTTGTGAACAGCAGCAGGAGATGCTGGCTTTTTATTTGCTTTGCCTCCTTCTGACTTCTGTTTCCTTGGTGGTCCCCAGATAAAATGCTCAGAAGGTGTATAATGTTGCTGGGCAAATCTCAGGAGCTTCCTCCTTTCTCTTCGGTCTCTAATAGTGTACACAAAATATTCCAGAGCACTTTGCTTAATATTTGGGATGGTATCTTCCACAAGAGCTTCGTGAAGAATAAATTTTACCAAGGGGGATTTGAAGCTCTCGTATCCAAGTTCACCAAGGCTTTTGAGAATTCGAGTGATCCTCAAGTAATTGTGCTGAGATCTGTGGGAGAAAAGGTTGAAAAATTCCACTGAATTAGAAAAAGAAAAAAGAGGAAAAAAACCTTACAGATACCGAACTAGAACTGCAATGCCTGACTTATCTGTAGCACTCAAAATGTGTATTTCAGGCTTTCTGTACTTCAGCTGATGAAGCTTCCTAATACTTCCTTTGATAGGATGTTGTGAGTGAAAATTAGTCTATGTAAAACGCTTTGAGGCCAACAGAGGAGGGATCAAAGTGTTTACTGAATTTGATTTCTTCTGCTAGGTATATTTTTTCTTGAGAAGAAAGCACAGTCTTTATACTTCACTCAAGTCTATCTACTAGCAGGTCACCCAGCTTTTAAATGACTAACTCTTGCAGACTACTACCTAAATTCCTTACAAAGCCAACGTTGGGAGAACAAAAAGGCAGCTCTGGAGAGTAAGTCTTTCTGTCATAAAGCATGCGAGGGACAGAAATGGAATTAACTGCCTTCTGGAAGCGTTTCTGAAGTGCTCTTTCCCTCATAAAGTAGATCTAAGYGAACAGTAAACCTTTTATGCCTCAATTTTAGATATCTAAATTTTAGATGGTTAAATTAGGTAAAAAGTGCCCCTGTCCCTGACWTAAATCTGTGTAGCTACTCACTGATGAGAATATAGAAATTCCAAGGTAAAGATGTGCAGTAAATATTATCCAGGGCTCTTGAAGGCCTGTCTGACCTGCTGCCTGACTTGGCGCACACATCTGTGATTTGACTCATTTAGTCAAGTTACTGAGTAACTCAGTCAAGTTACTAACAAGTTATTTCTATTATTTGCTCAGATATAACCACCAGCAGCCCTACCTTGCAAACAAGCCTGCACTTGCATGCAAGGACCAAATACTGCATAACAGCAAACTTTAGCTCCAAGATCAGAGGGAGTAGAAAAGTGATCACAAATCTTGAGAAGAAATTGTGATACAAAAAAATCTGCAGGGGACAAAACTCAGTGCAGACCTACACTCTCCCCAAAGCTGAAGAAAGTGAGAGATGGTCATTTGGTGAAAGCTGAGATAAAGTCTAACCCAAAATATGTTCAAAGCTCTTCAGTCAAGCGCTGCAGTTAGAAGTATTAAACAGAAGAATTAAACAGAAAATATTTCAGGTTTAGGGAGAGAGAAATCTTGATTATTTAGCTTCCATGCAGGTGTGGAGAATTCGCCTTTTCTCATAGAAGAAAAGTGAATGCAAAGACAAGTCACTCTTTCCTTGCAATAAAGAAGCATCACTCTGGGATCAGGTGAAAACGTGTTCAGCAGTATGACAGACAAAGCTAATTTGGAACTGTGATTCTCTCCAGTACCATCTGAAAGTTGTATTTTTAGGGAATTCACTGACGTTGCTTAGACTAGTAAAGGGTGTGAGGCACAAACACAAAATTGCGTAAGGAGAAAACACAGAGACACAAATCAGTCTTATCTCTTTTTTCTCTCTAGACAAGCTTTAGAAACATATCTCCCCTTTCCCTAGAAGACAAAAGGTTAAAGGAAGTCTATGGCAAATCAGGAGCGGTAGGTAAATGTCTTTACTTACTCATTCAAATGTTGGAATCTTTCTTGCCAGTTTGCAGCTCGTGCTACATTTCCAGTTTTATCAACTAGCTTTATCCCGAAAAACTCCAGCATCATTTTGTAAGCCAAAACAAATCTCCTAATTGCTTCTTTTGTCTTCTTGAATTCCTAAGAAATAAAGAACAGTTCCAAAGTTCTGCATGGCACTAAAGCAAGCACTGCTGCACTGTACACAACTCAACCAAAGCAGTAATGTATCAGTACAAGTTGTTTGTGTTAAATTCCATATGATTTACCTCAATTTCATACGTAGTTAGTTCCTTAGCATAGAAGTTGAGACCTTGCTCCCGCAGAGGGAAAAGCCTGTTAAAACAGAAGTGTATTACAGCTCTCAGCACATGACACTTAAACAAATTAATGCTCAAGAAGAGAAATAGGCAGTAAGTGACCAACCACTGTATGTAAGTGTGGTTATGTTCCAGTTTTTCATAGTCTCCTTTCCACTTGTTTAGGACTTCTTCAATATAAACCCCTGCATAAAAATAATTTGAAAACTATTAGGTAGCCATCAGAAACAGCTTTCAGCTACATCACAAAAGTGTAGACCCATTTAACATAATCACAGAATGCATTTTTAATCTTACTTCAAATTCTATAACAASGACTATTACAGACATAAATAAATTAGTTTTAATTTAAAATGAATTCAGTTGCTACAACTTATATCAAAGCAGGAGATTTACCAAACTTTAATACAAACAAAATCAGCTGGCTGTAACTGAGTTACCTACCAGTTGTGGGTACGTGACCCCTGTAAAATAGACTTTCCAGAAAGTATCCGTGCCCTAGATTTCTCTGTCACATTGGCAACTGGCAAACCACTTCAGTAAAACACTGCACCACAAATAACCTGCCATTGCTTTAACATGACAAAACTGTGCAAACATATCATCTTTGTAGAATAAAATCTCAACACTAATAAATCTTCCATTTCAGGAATCTCTCCAGCTGCAAGCGATGCAAAGATCTAGCAATCATCTGCAGGTAGCTATGGCTAACAGCTCAGGTACCACTGCCACRACTTGACCTTGTGGGCCCCATCTCATGCTCAAGAACTGAGAATTGCAGAGAACTCAGTCAGCTCCTCTTGGAAAGAAAGGGTGAGAGAAAAAGAGGACAGAGTGCACATAAAAGGAAATTAACCCTTCTTTGTACTGAGGCTGTGCCCTTGAACTTCAGCCTTGGACCAGGGAACCTCTCTTCCAGGCACTGCACAAATGCATARTACACCCCAAAGAACATTCCTTGCTCCAGACACTCTGCATTTTCTTTTCATCAGTGAACATCCAACATTAGCCTATTCCTTCTCTGAAGCTAACTGGAGTTTTACCACTGCAGCATGGCCTCTCTCAAAGTCATATAGCACAGGACCAGCCTAAAAAACCCAAAGCCCCCATTGCTTTAATTCCTAAAACAATATATATATATATATATGAGGTTCTACTCTCTTCCTCAGTAAAAAATGCCACTTGGATTCCAACAGAGAATTCAAGTGTTGCTTCATTCACTGATTTTCATCAGCAGTGAAGAAAGCAGCCAAAGAGGCTGCTAAGAACACGGGCTTTCCAGGGCAGCTAAGGCTGGAAAAATCACCAAGAGACTTCATGCCATTGCCACACACTACCACACACACATCCAGCTTTCACAATACTTCTGTTTCAAGGTTTAGACAACTTGTTGCTGAATTGCAAGGAGAAAAGACAGGCCAGCTCTGAGCAAGAACCACGCTCTCATCTGTAGGCTGTAGAATTGAACTTTGTAAACTTTTTTGTTGTTGTTTTTAAGAACATTCCCCAGTATTTCACTTCATGTGGCACTTCAGACTCCCCCTAAACACTTTCACAATTTCACTGTGTAAGGTCAAGGCAATGACTATTTTCTCCCATTCTCACTAAAATGTTATACAAAGCCAGAGCTCACAAACATCAATACTTCAGTTTCRCTGGCCTATCAGTTACTTTGCTTTTGACCCCACTGACCATGATTTCTTCCTAAAATTTTGCCTTCCTCTAGCTTCTGTGACTACATTCTCCTCTGGATAATCCTTCTGAATTGCTACCTCATTCTGTCCTCTCACGGAGTTCCCTCAAACCTTCACCATCTTTCACTTTCAAGTCTTTAGTTCCCTTTTCCTTCTCTACACATGTGTTCCCTGTGTAATGTGTCATGAATTTGCAATCTCTGTGTTGGTAATTGGCAGATCTAACTCTTCCTCTAGCCAAGGTAAAAAACACAGGTATGCAGACAAAGCTCAAGAAGAAGAATAAACCAAAATTCTTTCACACAACCTAATTTTTTTCCCCCCCTCAGTTGCTGCAGATATTAGCACTATCTTGTCTATAAATAACTTTCATCTCCAACCTTCCAGGCTATATTTACACGACTGCATCCTTCTGCACATCATCTTTCCCACCCAGATTTGTCAGGATTATGACATTTTGCACCTCAACATCCTTTTTTTTCCTGACCTTGAGAAATGCAAATCTGCCACACTTATCTCTACCCCAAACGCTGCTGAGATCTTGCTTCCAGACTGCTCTTTTTTTTTAAATATTACCTCTCCTTTGTATTCTTCCGTTCTGATACCCCTTTCTGCAACATCAAACAAAAGCCATATGCCTTCACTTTCAAAGCCTTTCAGGACTTGTCCCTTCCCACCTTATCTCAATCCTTTCCTGCTACACAGGTAGAATCCTGCCTCTGACGAGTCCTCCCTGGCAGTATCCTACTCTCACTTCTTATATACCAAAATGTGCACTTTCAGATTTTCCCCCAAGTTGCTCTCATATTGAGAGACTCTTTCTGCAAAGCATCTGCAAAGTAACCTCATCATCATTCTTAAAAAAAAAAAAAAAAAAAATCTCTAAAACTCATTTTTGCCTGCAAATTTTCTTGACAATAGCAAAGGTCTCATGTGCCGAGACCCCTCTCTTATCATTCCACCCAACACTCCTTGGCTGGCTCAGTTTTGCTTCCCCATCTGTCTGTTGCCTTCCTGTCTGTCACACTTGGGCTGCAAACTCCCCAGCGCAGGGCTTGCATCTTGCAGTCCCTCTTATGTTTGTGCTGAACCCACCTTGTGAGATTCCTGTCCACAAACAGAACCACTGTTCTAGGACAGAGATTATTATAACAGCAATAGCAACATACTTTCTCACATGTGAAGAAATGGTAACACATTCATTATCCTTACACAGGACTAAAAATAAAACTCAGATCTTTGCTGCTGCCTTTTCAAGCAGCAAGAGCTTACTGAATGTAGTGCACAACTACATCATGCTGAAAATGTATGAGAACAGCACCACTACCAAAAGCTTCCTCTTGAGACCAGGGGCTAGCTTTGGTTGAAACACAACCTGCTACCAGCAACACTGTCAACATGCTATTCCAGTAAGGAAGTGATACAAAACACTACTAGGCACCCATAGTGCATTAGCACTCTAATTAACACACTTGTGTCACCTGTTACTATTATTAGCGATCATTCTTCTCTTACCACTATTACTGTAACAGATTACTCACCATCAGGTTTAAAGGGGATTTTATTTTTGTAAAACCGGAGATTACACAGGTCATTTTGATATCGAAGATCTTTAAAGTTCTGCTAAAAAAAAAAAAGAAAATAAGATATTATCAGCTACAGAGTGGCACTTGGCTCTCAGAATAACTTGTTCAAAATACAGAAAAATAAACCCAACAAAGTTTAGGAAAAGCTGAAGCCCCTCAGAATTGCTCGGGTACTTAAAGATTCAGCCCTGGAAAAACAGTTTGAGGGATCTGCAAGCTCCTCCTGGCTGGCAGCTTCCCCCACCATGACATGGGAAAGGGCGGCAAGCATAATGGGACCTTGACTTTAGTGTCAAGAATTTTTTTGTGAGAGAGGGACTAAAAAGAAGTCCAAATGATATCTATCGTCTCCGGTATTAAAGAGGCATTTTTTCTGAGCTCCYGATAGTATTGCCAAGCTGATAATAACTCATAGTGTTTGCATGAACTGGACTGAAAAGATGTTGCACTAARTTCTGGGCTCCCCAGTATAAGAGGGACGTGGAGCTTCTSGAGAGGGTCCAGAGAAGGGCAACCAGGATGATTAAGGGAATGGAACATCTCTCGTATGAAGAGAGGCTGAGYGAGCTGGGCCTGTTTTCTCTGGAGAAGAGACGGCTCAGAGGGGATATGATTAATATGTATAAGTTCAGGAAGGGAGAATGCAGGGAGGAAGGGGACAGGCTGTTTTCACTGGTGGCCAGCGATAGGACGAGGGATAATGGCCACAAGCTGAAGCATAAGAAGTTCCGTCTCCAGGTGAGGAGCAACTTCTTTACTGTTAGGGTGACAGAGCAGTGGAACAGGCTGCCCAGGGAGGTTGTGGAGTCTCCTACTCTGGAGGTCTTCAAAACCCGCCTGGATGCCGCCCTGTGCCACATGCTGCAGCTGTGCCTGCTTGAGCAGGAAGGTTGGACTAGATGATCTGATCCCTTCCAACCTTAAATATTCTGTGATTCTGTGAATTTCATTTCTCTCCCACTGGATACCTTGCTTTTTGACTCTGGTCATTCTCATACACATTAACCCACATAAAGGTTTACAACTGTGGGAGCTGTGTGCTGTTCTCAACGAAACAAGGGCATGATTTCAAACCATCAAACATTCTTACTGGGTACTGGTGTCGGTACTTGTAGAGATCTCTCGCTGCATAGAAGCTTCTCTTTGGCTTGGCTGTGAGCTCAGTTGCATCACCACTCTGGAACATTTAAAAAGCAGTTAATAGCCATATGTAAACACACTAACTACTGAAATGGTATAAAATTATTTTTCATAAGGGGTTTCAACAATGGAAACATACAGAAGTGCCCACATATTTTTTTTTTCAAAGAATTTGAAAATCTCCCTGCTGAATGCTTATTACTACACACTTGAAGCCTAAATTAAAAGCAAAGGCTATGGACTATGAAATGAGACAGGCTGTATCACGAGTTTGCAGTTGATTTGAATCAACAGGGTGGTGGGCCGTGCCCAAGGCCGGACCCTGCAGCGCCTGGGAAGCACCCCTACCAGCTGCACTAACCCAGGGGGGCGAGCAGCGGCCCTGCTCGCCGTGCWGGGGAGCTCCCGCTATTTGCAACGCTATCCGCAAACCCACGGCACATGCAATTCCCACTGCTGCGGCCCCGGGAAGAAAATGAATAGTGCCAAATTAGCCAAGTTGGTGTCCTACTGCTTTCTTGAACCCTTTTTGAACACTCTTTTTTTTTAAGAGCTTAAATTTAAGTCCTGGCAAGAAGCACCGCTCCAGGACAGGCCGCAGGGGAAATCACCACTGGGCTCCTAGGAAAACTTAGACTGACCCCCCTGTCCTGCTCGGAGGCCRCGGGCTGAGGCAGCCAGGGCCCGTCCAGGCCAATGCAGATAACCCAGCTGACCTCAGAAAGTCACCCAGAAAGCTTTTCCCAGCAGGAAAACCAGAGCCGAAGCGGCTCTGTGCGCAGAGCCAACAGCCATTGCAGTTCCTTCTCACAGCCCCACCGTAACAACAGGTTTCCTTTTTTTTTTTAACCCATGTGCAGAAATGAGTCTCTACTCTCAAACCGAAGGCCAAATGAGTTAAATAAATAAATAAAGATGCTCAACTCATCCATATTCCCGGGGGAGGTTGGAGCCGGGCTCATCCCCGCGCCCGGCCGGGGCCTCCTCGGCTTCCAGCGAGCGGCCCGTCGGGGAAGGCGGCGCCGGGCCGGCCCCCCGAGCCCCTACCCGGTCCCTCGAGCCCCTGCCCGGCCCCCCGAGCCCCTGCCCGGCCCCCGCGGCCCCTGCCCGGGCCACGTCCTGCCCCGGTACCTGCTCGGGGCCGGCGCCGTCCTGCTCCGCCCGCTCCCCCTCGTCCTGCGGCGGCGGCGGGGGAGTCTCCTCCGCGGCGGCGGGCAGCGGCTCGGCCGCCTCGGGGCCGTCGGGCCGCGGCGCCTCGGGCTCGGAGTCGGTCTCCCAGGTGGAGTCGCAGTCCTCCACCGTGGTGGGCTCCTTGAAGCTGACGCCGCTCAGCAGGCCGCCCATCGGGCGCTGCTGCTGCTGCTGCCGCCGAACCGGGCCGGGCCGCGCCGGGGCC